ACTACCAATTCAGGCTTCATAGTACCACTCTGGATACAGTAATCCAGGGCCAGAACCTTCTTGTTCCAAACAGTCAAAATGTACCTTTGCAGCGGTTTCGAGTGGAATTGGGCATAGGGAATAGCCCCGAACGAGGACACCATCTTTCCCAGCAACCTCAGAGAAGAATTGAAGAATACCTCTTGGCTTTTAAACTGCAAACCTCGTTCCCCAGCGTGCAATGTTTTCCTGAAGGCAGGTATACAGTACCTTTGCCTGAACCATGTCTGGGACCATCCCAAATACCCCAGGTTCTGTACTGGCTCCAGGGCCGACTTCTTGAAGTTGAGCACCCAGCCCAGCTGTTCCAGGATCTGCACCATAACCACATCCTGCTTCAGACCTGGCACTGACCGACCTCTGAGCAACGGATCGTCTAGATAACCTATGACCGATACCCCTAAGTTCTGAGCAGCACCAACACTGAAGCAAGAATTTTTGTGAAAGCTCAGGGAGCCATGGCCAGCCCAAACGGTAGTGCTATGAACTGCAATAAATATTGGCACATGTAGGCATGTATCCTTTATGTCTAGGGACCCTAAAAAAATCTCTTTCCTGTAAAAAGTCCACTACTGACCGAACCGATTCCATATGAAAAGACCAGACAACTAGAAACTGATTAAGCCTCTTGAGGTAAAAAATGGGCCTTACATCCCCATTTGGCTTTGGGACTGTGAACAGGTTTTGAAAAAAAACCCTGAAAACCTTTGTGATCATCACGAAACAATAGGCGATCGAATGCCTGTAACAAAGTTCTTCTCTTCTCTGGATTCATCATTACATTTGATTTTAGAACCCGGGAAGGAAGGGGGGGACCCAAATTTCTAATCTGTACCCCAGAGAAATAATGGAAATGACTCACTTGTCTTGGATTAGAGCCCTCCAGGCAGCAATAAAATTCAAAAGCCTTCAAATGCTTACAACACCTGGTACACCCAGGCAGTCTCTCCTCCAAGTAGTAACCAGTAGTAACCCTGATTAGATTCCGAGTTCAGACGAGATCAGGCAGGTACAGGGGAATGCAGCTGTAGTCCATTGCAGCTTCACCATCACCTTCAATAGCTGAAATGCCAGAAAAACACAGTGGCCCAAATACCCCTGACACCACTGGTTTATCGTGAAATGTGAATACCGCCAGATTACCCCTCCTTGAGTCCACTGGACCCGAGGGCAGTGTACCTGCCACTGTGCTGGCTACCTCTTTTGGGACCCTTTAAGTAAAAAAAGGTAGCAACTATATTGTCATCTAACTATGTAGTCCCGCAAGGATATATGTCCATAGCCAACTTGGTCTACAGTTATATGACTGCACAGGCAAGCAAGCATGCAGGTACATAGGCATGTAAATATGCAAATTATATCAGTACTCAGCTCACGCAAGTATGCAATTTATGCAAGTGTAGGTATGCAGTGTATGTTGGTATGCATTTACGTATGCACGTACAGATGCGGCCCAAGCATCAGGCATGCACGTACAGATGCGGCCCAAGCATCAGGCACGCACGTACGGATGCGCCCAGGCATCAAGCACGCACGTACGGATGCAGCCCAGGCATCAGGCACGCAAGTACGGATGCGGGCCATGCATCAGGCACACGTACAAATGCAGTTTATTCAATATACAGTTCACAAAACTGCGCAGGTATGCATGCAATAATGTAATACAATGCTGCAACTGTCCCACTTTCTAGAAGCGTATGGTATCAAAGAACTGCATCAAAATGAAATGCACTTGGTTCCATGCTAGGCAAACACATACACTATATTGCCAAAAGAACTGGGACACCCCTCCAAATCATTGTATTCAGGTGTTCCAATCGCCTCCATGGCCACAGGAGTATAAAACCAAGCACCTAGGCATGCAGACTGATTCCACAAACATTTGTGAAAGAATGGGTCGCTCTCAGCTCAGAATTCAAGCGTGGTACCATGATAAGTTGTCACCTGTGCAAGTCCATTCATGAAATTTCCTTTCTACTAAATATTCCACGGTCAACTGTTAGTGGTATTATAACAACATGGAAGCAACTGGGAACAACAGCAACTCAGATACAAAGTGGTAGGCCACGTTAAATGACAGAGCAGGGTCAGCGCATGCTGAAGGGCAAAGTGCGCAGAAGTCACCAACTGTCTGCAGAGTCAATAGCTAAAGACCTCCAAACTTCGTGTGGCATTCAGATTAGCACAACAACAATGTGCAGAGAGCTTCATGGAATAGGTTTCCATGGCCGAGCAGCTGCACCCAAGTCCTTACATCACCAAGTGTAATGCAAAGCGTCGGATGTAGTGGTGTAAAGCATGGACTCTAGAACAGTGGAGGCGTGTTCTCTGGCGTGACAAATCACGCTTTTCTGTCGGGCAATCCAATGACTGCATTGTGCCAAGTGTAAAGTGTAAGTTTGGTGGAGGGGGGAATATGGTGTGGAGTTGTTTTTTCAAGGGTTGGGCTTGGCCCCTTCGTTCCAGTGAAGGGAACTCTTAAGGTGTCAGCATACCAAGACATTTTGGACAATTTCAAGCTCCCAACTTTGTGGGAACAGTTTGGGGATGGCCCCTTCTTGCTCCAACATAACTGCGCACCAATTCACAAAGCAAGGTTCATAAAGACATGGATGAGCAAGTTTGGGGTGGAGGAACTTGACTGACCTAAAAACGATAGAACACCTTTGAGATGAAGTACAGCAGAGACGGCAAAAGCAGCCCTTTTCGTCCGACATCAGTGCCTGACCTCACAAATGCTCTTCTGGAAGAATGGTCAAACATTCCCATAGACACACTCCTAAACCTTGTGGACAGCCTTCCCAGAAGAGTTGAAGCCGTTATAGCAGCAAAGGGTGGGCCAACACAATATTGAACCCTACAGACTAAGACTGGGATGCCATTAAAGTTCATGTGCGTGTAAAGGCAGGCATTCCAATACTTTTGGCAATATAGTGTATGTATCAAACACAGCCTGAATGTAGTCTCCATGCTGCTTCAGTGCAGCTAAAATGTAAGCTCCTGCAGATCAAATGAAAGCTACTCTGGAGACTCAACTCCTTTAAGTGCACTGATCCCCCTGCAGGGGTGTATCAAAAAACAGTTGTACAATCCTCGTGGTATTATGCAAGCTCCCCAGTGGCCACCGGGAGAATGATCAGTCAGATATTTCAAAGAGATACTGCAAAAGTAAACATGCTATTGCAGGGCCCTGAATCATAAAGTCCAACCTTCACCCATCACTGTGGGATTTGTCATGCAGACCTTCAAGGACTCGATCCCGATAATTTGGGGCCACTGCCTCAGACTTGTACAGCACCCCACCAGAAAGCACCTTGGTCAGTATTATATTGCACAGGGTTATGCAGGGTCCAGCACCGTAAGGCTGTATTACAGACAAAACCCTGGGGATTCTTCTCCTTATCCAGCGAGGCTCAGGTACCATCCATTTTGGCTAACAGCTTTCTGAATAGATCCGATTAAAGTCCCTGGTTGTCTAATGGAACCGTTCTGGACCTTCAGGTATGCCCCTAGAGCACATGCAACACTTTCAGTGACCATCCATCTTACAGACACTGGTGAAAAAACTGAAGTATGTCCTGTATAGGAAGGATTACATAGGGAAGGACTTCCTTTCTGATTGGCCGGCCAGTGTCCATTCGCCTATAGGTGGCAAATGATCCACATAATCATGAATAGCCTGCTTTGTGCTCTGTGGACAACTATAGTTAGCACGAATAACCTGCTTCCTCTTCTTAACCATTTTTGTTGGAGTTTCGTTTTTTTTTTTTCCCCCCGTTACAAATTCATTTTTAAACACGTAAACTGTTTAAAAATGTAAACAGTGCTTTGGTCCATAAGGGATATACATAAATGGGAGCCTAAAGTGGTTCTAAAATTAAAAAGTTCCCACATTAAGGTTAAAAAAAAAAACAAACAAAAAAAAAAAAAACGACCTTTCAATGACAGCTTCTCCAAGACGTATCCATTCTCAATTCAGTGTTGGGACCTTCTGCTGCAGCTCTTCTCTCCTCTTCCTGTTCACAGTAGACAATCTTACATTAGCAGGAGCCATTGGCTCCTACTGCTGTCAGTCAAAACCAGTGTGGAGAGAGCAGGCAGCAGGGCCACGCCACTGTACGTGCACCAATGGACACACACAAAGCCGGGATCTGGAGAGTGCCCGCATAAGTGCCCCCATAGCAAGTGGTTTGCAATGGAGGCACTCAACAGAAAAGAAACAGAGAGCGCGGACGGGGGACCCCAGAAGAGGAGGTTCTGGGCCACTCTGTGCAAAACCACTGCACAGAGCAGGTAAATATAACATATTTGTTATTTTTACAAAAGCTTTAAGCAGTTCAATTGATGTATGAAGAGTTTTTCTTTAATAAAAGACTTTGCAAATTCTAGTCAAATAAAACTACAACTTGCATTAAAATAGATCAGCAGTAGTCAACTAAGCAGTTTACGCAGCCCTTAGGGTTGTACGTAATATTTCTAATTTTGATTAACAAATAAATTTAAACTAGGGTCTCCACTATCACAAGGTGCCTGTGAAATGCAAGTGCAATGCTGCCAGTTCTTCCAAGTTATATACTGTACACAAAGCAGAATCTTTGCAGACTCTGACTCCATTTTCTTTTTCTCAGGTGAACACGTGAATGTGAATTGCTTCTTAGGTTAAAAAGCCTAGACCAATAACCATTTCCCTTGTGAAGATTGCACTGTGTTTACAACCCTTCTCCACACTTAGGCAAAACTTGAATGCCAAGTCAAGCCAATTATTGGTCTAGGAGCGCACCAGCACAAACCAACCAATGCCTACAGGTGGTTTAATGATTTTGCTCTTTCCACTTCTGGTGTATATGATCACTTAAACTAGTCTACACCCATACTGTTCTAACAAATATCTTCTTTTAAAAGGAGAAGCCTTAAATATGCAGAAAATGCTTTCATTCATGAGACCAGTAAGTCAATATTACCTTTTCTAGTGTGAGAAGATTGATCTCAGACTGCAATCGGATTTCTGGTTTACTGCTTTGTTGCTCTTTGTACTGATGAAACTCCTTGTCCAGTAATTTAAACTTATGTTCTGCCTCTTGAAGCTAAAAAGCGGAAAAAGAAAAGAAGGCCTTGATATAAAATCCATTAAAATGAGCTACTTAAATAAGCAAACTGAATATGCAGAGCATGTCCGTACCTAGCCCTTGAACAAATAGACATTAAACAGATATCAAAATAGCATTACCACCATAAATTACAGCTCTTCTCACTGAAGCAGAATAGACAGGGAAAGAAAGACAAATCTGAAAAAAGCTGCTTTTAGGAAACAAATGTGAAAAGTTATTTATTCCCTTGTGACATAGAAAAACACAGACAGCAGATAAAATGCAGAAACAGACCTTCACTAAATGCTATTACGTTTGACAGTTTAGTTACTGCTGTTTTATCACACTGGAGTTTTAGGATTTCCTCCTAAAATACAGTACATATACCAGCAGTACAATGAAACCGGCCAGTATTTGGCTTACTATCAACCAGGAAATTAGGAAATCAAGCTCCAGTGGAATAACAGATAAAAAAGGACAACTACAGTCCCGTTTTAGGACAATTTATGTCATCTCCTGCTAAAACTCTGCAGAATCTGTCTTTAAAGTTTAAAAACAGTCATGAGAACCACAGAAGCTTGTGGCTTCCCTTTCTAAAGATGCTAGTTGCCAGGACGTCAAACTGACCCTCCTGTTTCACTATTTGAGCTACTTACCAGAAACTAACCAAAAAAAGTACATAGAGCAGAGTTTTACCCTAGGTTCACACCCAAGCATTTTCCGCAGCGTTTTACAGAAACACACTACATTTAACACGATTTCTTATGGGACATGTTCACATCTCCGCATTTTCACCCGATGCGTTTTTTGGAAAGGGGTAAGGGACTTTTTTGAATGCAAAAAGGTGCGTTTTTGGTTATATAGACTTCAATGGAAACTCTGCAGAAAATAATGTAGTGCATTTTGCTGTGTTTTTGATGCGTTTTAAATCTGCCTAGCAATAATAAAAAAAACCTCCAAAAAACAAAAACTACAAAATGCTGCAAAAATGCAAAACGCGATGCAGAAACGGGTCAAAACGCAAACTGCATAAGTGTGAACCTAGCGAGAGTCATAGCCACCAAGAAATCAACATTTTACAAACAAGAGCAGCAATGACAGCCCCAGGTTTCTCTTTGAACAAAGCAGAAAAATATAATCTGCTAAAAAAAGAAAAAAAAAAAAATCAATAAAAAATTTAGAAATCTGATTATTATTGCTTGTGCTTACATAATTTCATAGTATAAAATCAGATGATTTAGAGCTCTTGTATCCAACCTGTGGCTCTTTGGCACTTAATGCCCATATAAACCCAAAAACAAAAATGTAATATATTGCAGCTTACAGTCCTTAGATCTGGTGGCAGCATTAGTTTTCTTCTTTCATGTTTTTTTCCCTTTATTTTTTCCTTACCTCACCTTTTAGTAACACACTTCCTGTCCTAGGGTGGCTACAATTACTAATTGCGCTATAAATGGAAGAGCAATAACGTTGCCCTAGGGCCTAGGCTGCTCCTGTTGTGAGCTACAAACATGTCCTGCTCCACTTCACAAAGGGGGGTTTGTAGATATGGAATATAGCGGACAGAACAGATAATATTGTTTTATATTTCAGTTCAGCTCAAAGGAAGATCCAAGATCAACATGTTTTTCTGTACTTGCTGTAATGTAAAAAAAGAAAACGAATGCAGCAACCATACTGAAGGGCTGTTAAGCTACAATCTATTGCCCTTTAGTTCCTGGGTTTATATATGTTTTCCATGTGCTATCTGGGGGCCTATACAGACAGTTGTTTTTGTGTAGTTCCTCCTCAAGAAAGTAAAGAATGTCTTTAGACTGCCTAGTAGTTTTTTCCTCTTATGTGCTGTCTGTCGTATTTCTTTTTATGTTTTTTCCCCTGATATTTTACAATGGATCATGCTGAAAGAAATGAAAATACCACAAGAAAGATTTTGTAAATGTGGAAACATTTATATGAAAAAGGGCAATAAAAACAGTGATCCCTAGTCGTCTCTGGATACATGTCTGCAACCTATGAAGCATGCCTCCATTCTCCGATAACATCTATAGCATGTTCGCAGCCTCAGACCATCTCCTGTACTATGGCTGCCTGTCGTATGTTGAAGTTTCTGCATCTTGCATAATCTGAAGCTTAATTTTAAGCAACCTGTCACATCAGGGAAAACACTTTGGTATATTTTTTCTGTGTAAGAACATTTTAATAAAAGAAGAATCACTGTTTTAAAGTAAGTGTAAATCCAATGACTAAAATATAAGCTTTATGTATTAATGTAACTTTATATATGCTTTTCAATTTGTGTTCATTTTGTAGTATAATTGTAGGTACTAGTTCAGGCACTTCCTGCTATAGGGTAACAAGCACACCATTTCTCTCCCAAATGTGCTCCTGCATGGTCACTGCCACACAGCTTTCAATGGAGACTAAAAGTGGCTGTTCTAGCACACCTTATGCAGGCATGGTCCATTCTTACCACTATCAGGAAATTCAGCCTAAGAAATGCCATGCAAATAACGCTGGAGAATGTAGAGACATAAGTCACTGTAAAGAGGCTGTATGCAATAAGTAGTGATGATCAAGTTGAGAAGATACTGGAGAGTTTAATAAAAGACCACATAGAGGAGTTCTTGCTGGGAAAAAAAAAAATTTAACCACTTGCCTACAGGGCACTTATACTCCCTTCCTGCCCAGGCCAACTTTCAGCGCTGTCACACTAAACAAATTTTTCTCCTTCACTGATGTGCGCTAATGAGGCTGCAGTGATGGGCATTGATAGGTGGCACTGATGGGTATTGACAGGCATCACTGAAAGGCAGCACTGACTGGCACTGATGCGTACTGATAGGTGGCACTGACTGGCAATGATAGGAGACACTGATTGGTAGCACTGATAGGTGACACTGAAAGGCAGCTCAGATGGGCACTGATATGTGGCATTGATGTGCAATGGTAGGCACTGATATGTGGCATTGATGTGGCACTGATGAGCACTGGCAGGTGGCATTGATGAGCACTGACAGCTGGCACTGCTGGGGTTACACTGATTATCAGGGGACACTGATCATCAGTGCCCCGATGATCAGTGTACATGTCCCCTCTGAGGGATGCAGATTACAGGCTCTCCACTCCTCACGAGCTGTCAGCGTGACAGCTCGTGAGGAGACAAATGCCGATAACCAGCATTTCCCTATTTACATGTGATCAGCTGTGATTTGACACCGCTAATCACATGACCGAGCCGACATCTTTGGCTCTTTCCGTTGATCGGTGATCCGCTGAGTCCGAGGGACACAGAGCACCGCCGATCACCACGCTGTGCTCCCCCGGAGCCACGCATGCGCGGTTAGAGTGGGAGGACGTCATATGACGTTCTCCCAGAATGAGAGAACCGCCTTGCGCCTGTCATTTCCTTATATGGCAGGCGGAAGGCGGTTAAAGCAACAGACAGCATGGATTCATGAAAGACACAAGTTGTCAAACAAATCTGATTTCTTTTATGAGGAGGTGAGCAAAACCTTGGACAGAGGGGTGCCGGTGGACGTGGTATACTTGGATTTTGCAAAAAGCATTTGACACAGTTCTCCACACATATGACTAATGTGTAAGGTAAAGTCTACAGGCTTGGAAAAATCTGTATGTAAATGGATAGAAAACTGGCTAAAAGATCGTATTCGGAGAGTAGTGGTTAATGATTCATACTCTGAATGGTCTAGGGTTGTCAGTGGTGTACCCCAAGGTTCAGTGTTGGGACCCTTACTTTTTAATATATTTATAAATGATATAGGGTCTGGGATTAAAAATACCATTTCAGTCTTTGCAGATGACACCAAGCTGTGCAGTGGAATAACGTCTTTACAGGATGTCTCCAACTTACAAGCCAACCTCAATGCACTGTTTAATTGGGCAACTATGTGGCAAATGAGGTTTATTGTTGATAAATGTAAGGTTATGCACTTGGGGGGCTAAGAATATGCATGCATCATACATACTAGGGGAGTACAACTGGGGGAATCAATGGTGGAGAAGGATCTGGGAGCTCTGGTAGATCACAAGCTTAATAATGGCATGCAATGCCAAGCTGAAGTTTCTAAAGTGAGCAAAATCCTCTCTTGTATTAAAAGAGATATAGACTCCCGAGAAAGAGATATAATATTACCCCTGTACAAATTATTAGCAAGACCTCATCTGGAATATGCAGTTCAGTTTTGGGCACCAATTCACAAAATGAACATTGGGGAACTAGAGAAAGTACAGAGAAGGGCAGCCAAATTGATAAGATCAGCTATGAGGAAAGATTAGAGGAACTGAATTTATTCTCTCTTGAGAAGAGGAGATTAAGGGGGGTTATGAGCAACATGTATAAATATATCAGTGGTTCATATAGTGAACCCGGTGGGGGGGGGGGGGGGGGGGGAGAGAGAGCAGACAGCCCAGAGCCGACATCAGTCAAACACAGAAGGAAAGGAGGTGGATCCACACAAACTTGTTGGCTTAAGATTCTGGAGAAAAATCCATACTTCTCTTGTAAAGTATGTATGTATGAATGTAAGTTAGGGACCTCACATTGTATACCCCTTGAGGGATAGGGACTGATGTGAATGTACAATATATATGTAAAGCGCTGCGTAAAATTGACACCGCAGTATGAGTACCTGTAATAAATAATAATAAAGGACAACTAAAATAATGTAAAAAAAATTGCAGTGTTGTTGTCACTTTCCGGGAAATAAAATGGAGGCAGAAAAAAAAAAAATGTTACACACACACACACACACACACACACACACACACACACACACACACACACACACACACACACACACACACACACACACACACACACACACACACACACACACACACACACACACACACACACACACACTTTGAAAAAGTATTTGTACCCCTTGACATTTTGTCATGTTACAACCATAAACGTAAATGTATTTTATTGGGATTTTATGTGATAGACCAACACAAAGTGACACATAATTGTGAAGTGGAAGGAAAATGATTAATGTTTTTCAAAACTTCTTACAAATAAATATCTGAAAAGTATGGTATGCATTTGTATTCAGCCCCCCTGAGTCAATACCTTGTAGAACCACTTTTCACTGCAATTACAGCTGCAAGTCTTTTTGGGGATGTCTCTACCATCTTTGCACATCTAGAGAGTGAAATTTTTGCCCATTCTTCTTTGCAAAATAGCTCAAGCTCTATCAGATTGGATGGAATGCGTCTGTTAACAGCAATTTTCAAGTCTTGCCACAGATTCTCAATTGGATTTAGGTTTGGACATGGACTGGGCCATTCTAACACATTAATATGCTTTTATCTAAACCATTCCATTGTAGCTCTGGCTGTATGTTTAGGGTCGTTGTTCTGCTGGAATGTGAACCACAGCCCCAGTCTCAAGTCTTTTGCAGACTATCAGGTTTTCTTCTAAATTTGCCCTGTATTTGGCTCCATCCATCTTCTCATCAACTCTGACCAGTTTCCTTCTCCCTGCTGAAGAAAAAAGCATCCCCACAACACGATGCTGCCACCACCATGTTTCACAGTGGGGATGGTGTGTTCGGCGTGATGTGCAATATTAGTTTTACAACAAACATAGCGATTTGCTTTTAGGCCAAAAAGTTAAGTTTTGGTCTCATCTGACCAGAACACCCTTCTTCCTTATGTTTTCTGTGTCCCCCACATGGCCTCTCACAAACTGCAAATGGGACTTCTTATGGCTTTCTTTTAACAATGGCTTTCTTCTTGCCACTCTTTCATAAAGGCCAGATTTGTGGAGTACATGACTAATAGTTGTCCTGTGGACAGATTATCCCACCTTAGCTGTGGATCTCCGCAGCTCCTCCAGAGTCACCATGGGCCTCTTGGCTGCTTCTCTGATTAATGCTCTCCTTGCCCGGTCTGTCAGTTTAGGTGGACGGCCATGTCTCGGTAGGTTTGGAGTTGTGCCATACTCTTTCCATTTTCGGATGATGGATTGAATAACCTAACTCTATTTTAAACTTCTCCACAATCTTATCCCTGACCTGACTGGTGTGTTACTTGGCATTCATGATGCGGATTATTCACTAATGTTCTCTAACAAACCTCTGAAGCCTTACAGAACAGAGGTTTTTATACTGAGATTAAATTAGACACAGATGGACTATTTACTAATTAGGCGACTTCTAAAGGCAATTGGTTCCTCCAGATTTTAATTAGAGGTAATAGAGTAAAGGGGGCTGAATACAAATGCATGCCACATTTTTCAGATATCTATTTGTAAAAATTTTCGAAAACCATTGATCGACTTCCTTCCACTTCACAATTCTGTGCCACTGTGTTGGTCTATCACATAAAATCCCAATAAAATACATTATGTTTTGGTTGTAACATGACAAAATGTGGGAAAATTTCAAGGGGTATGAATATACATAATATATATACACACACACACACACACACACACACACATACACACATATATACACATACATACATACATACATACATACACATTATATATCCATGGCTCCCTCCAGGGATGCAATGGAATTAAAGTGATACTAAAAGATAAAGTAAAATAAATGAATAATTAATAATACAAATTCACATTTTGCACCATTTAAAAGTGATTCTTAAAAAAAAAAAAAAAAAAAAGAAGAAGATTAAAAGAAAATAACAAACATGTTATACTTGCCTGCTCTGGGCAATGGTTTTGCACAGAGCGGCCTTGACCCTCACATTCCTGGGTCATCCGCTAGCAGTCCTGGCCCCTCTTCCCAGCTGAGTACCCCCATAGCAAGGCACTAGTGTGTGATCACTCCCAAGCCCTGCTCTGTGTCCACAGAGACAAACAGCGTGGCTTAGTAACGCCCCCTGCTCCCTCCTCACTGTGATTGACAGAAGTGGAAGCCACTGGCTCCTGCTGCTGTTTTAGAGCCAATGAGGAGGAAGAGAGCCAAAAAAGTCACTACTCTTGTGCATATCGCTGGATCGAGTTAGAGCACAGGTAAGTATAGGGGGGGGGCGGGGAATTGGGGAGCTGCACACAGAAAGTTTTATACCTTCTTGCAAAGAATGCAAGGTAGAAAACATTCAGCCTTTAGAACCACTTTAAGAGCAGCCAAACAAGGACAAGAAGTTAATAAAAATACAGGATTATTGGATGAAAATAAAAGGGCTAAAAAAACAAATCTGAAAAAAAAAAACAAAAAAAAAACTATTGCAGGCACCATTCAAGGACTGGTAATGTAGTTAGTCAGACACATATACATTTCAAGAAGCATCAAGCTAAACCACAATGATACACATGCACAGTTCCAAAAGTAGACTTTATATCAACAAACTACAAACTCTATATACAGAAGCGCTGGTCCTCATTTACCTGTTGCTGCAATCTGAGTTTGTCCTCTTCCAGCTGTTTTGTCTTTAACTTCTCCAGCTCTATTTGATGATGACAATCGTCACGGACTCGCCTGATTGAGTCCTGCCTTTCCTGAATGCTCCGTTCACGCTCTAGCTGAAGTTCTGCTCTTGCTTTGTTAAACTACAAAAATACAAAGCTGTTACTTAAAATAAATAAATAAATAAAAAAGGCAAGACCCTTTGGCACTTAAAAAATACACATGCAGAAGCAAACACTTTTGAAATCTTACCTGTGCTTTAATCCAACCAGCTTTCCGTCTGCCTTGGTCCTTTATTTAAAGGATTGCTCAACAGTGGGTACAATAATTCCCATTTGTGGGACTGTCCCAGAATCATAGGCTTTTGAACTAGGGTTTATCAATTTATACACTATACTGGCCCATAACATCCCTAAAAATCTATATGAGGCTTTACTAAATTTTAGACTAATGGAGTGTACCACTAATCAATTTTGAACCATATCCCTTATTTTCACAGCAGCTAGCTAAACAATATTTGCCAAAGCCTTAAGGTCTGGTACTCCGATGGTTGCCCAAGTTAAACAAAAAAGTTATGGCATTGAGAGGAAATAAATTGGCAGCAATAGGTCAAGAAGTTTATAAAAAGTTTGGCTCCCTTAGATCAAACATTTTTTTTTTCCTAGGCAATTTTGACGATTCCCTGTTGAGTATGTAATTTCCACCTAGAAATGGTGTATGTAGCCCGGAGGGTGACAATGTTCTTAAGACTTTGCTTCTTAATTTCCTCTACCCTGCACATTGCATTCCCTCCTCACCTCCTATTACTATTACTATTATGTTCTCTGTTCCACCCTACACCTGGTCTTTGTCTTTCTGTTTTCAAAGCCCTGCAGTAGGACCTGAACTATCAGTAAAGATCCATTTATATTGTATAAATAGATTTTATGACTATTGGCATGACTGCATATTGGTTTGTTTCTAAACAGTGGGCCTATAGCAGAAGGAATTTCTTGCTAAGCATGGAACCCATTATGTTGCTGTACTTTATAATTTCAACCTTCAGGTGGAACTTTACGTGTGGCTGACTCACATCAAGGTGAATGGGATTTATTTAAAAGGCTTCCAAACACACCAAAAATATATAGAATGCAAAGTAGTGCGTCATCATGCATTGTGGTGTGCTGCAACATAGTTGTGTTGGGAAAAGTGCGTTAGGGTGCAATTCAGAATAAATGGCACTGCGGTGTACCAACACACATTGCAACAAACCCATATGAATATGGATTTTCGTTCAGTTTTATTTTATATATATATATATATATATATATATATATATATATATATATATATATATATATATACATACATACATATATACATACATACATACATACATACACACACACACACACACACACACACACACACACATATACACACACACACACACAATCTCCAAAAAATTAAAGGAGCACTGTTTAATCACAGTATAGCATCATGTCAATTAAACTCCTGGGACACTGAACTGATCAGCTAGTCAGTTTCAGCTGATGTTTGCCCATCTAGGTGCACTAGATGGGCAACAATGAGACGACCTCCAAAATAGGAATGGATTTACAGGTGGCCACTGACATTTTTTTTCCCTACTCATCTCTTCTGACTGTTTTTCACTAGTTTTGCATTTGGCTAGGGTCAGTATCACTACTGGTCGCATGAGGCGCTATCTGGACCCTACAGAGGTTGCACAGGCAGTCCAAATCCTCCAGGATGGCACATCAATACGTGCCATTGGCAGAAGGTTTGCTGTGTCTCCCAGCACATTCTCAAGAGTATGGAGAAGATTCCATGAGACAGGCAGTTACTGTAGGAGAGCTGGACAGGGCTGTAGAAGGTCCTTAACCCATTAGCAGGACCTGTATCTGTTTTGTGCAAGGAGGAACAGGATGAGCACTGCTAGAGCCCTACAAAATGACCTCCAGCAGGCCACTGGTGTGAATGTCTCTGACCAAACAATCGGAAACAGACTTCATGAGGGTGGCCTGAGGGCTCAATGTCCTCTAGTGGGCCCTGTACTCACTGCATGGCACCAAAGGGCTTGATTGGCATTTGCCATTGAACACCAGAATTGGCATGTCCGCCACTGGCGCCCTGTGCCAGATGAGTGCAGGTTCACCCTGAGCACATGTGACAGCCATGAAAGGGTCTGGAGAAGCCGTGGAGAATGTTAAGCTGCCTGTAACAACGTTTAGCGTGACTGTTTTGGGGGTGGGTCAGTGATGGTCTGGAGAGGTATGTCCATGGAGGGACTCAGACCTCTACAGTGCCTGACCTCACAAATGCGCTTCTGGAAGAGTGGCCAAGCATTCCCATAAACACACTCCTAAACCTTGTGGACAGCCTTCCAAGAAGAGGAGTTGAAGATGTTCTAGCTGCAAAGGGTGGGCCAAGTCAATATACATTTCACAAGAATAGACAATTTTGGCAAATCTTCACTCTGTCCCTAGTATTTCGGCACGTGTATGCTTGATTAGCTTACAGGATCCCACTGAAAATTTCATGTTGTGCTAATAAGATTAACTCACTGCTGTTCCTAACAGTTTTTCCTCATCTTACACTGGATTACTGGAACTGATGAATTGACTATAGCAGTGTTTCCCAACCTTAGTACTCAAGTACCCCCCCAACAGGCAATGTTTTAGGAATTGCCCTATAATAGATTTCATACATAGCAAGCAATTGACATTGATTTAAAGCAACTGTATAAGGTTAAAGAAATACTGAAAACATGTTGGGGGTACTTGACTGATGTTGGGAACCACTTGACAAGACTCTTCCACTCAACACTCAGATTGTGACTGCAGGTAATATAATGCATGCGTAAGTTCCAGCACAAACAGTAGCATGTAGGATCATTTAATAAAGTTTTCAAAAATCATCGCCATTTATATCTAGTAGTAGTTAGTCACAATCATCTGGACTTGTTCTGTATTGTTTCATAGCTTACTCAGCTACTTAATTTAGTTCCAAGTGGCTTAGTCGCTACAAAAACTCTTCAAAGTTGCAGAACAAGTCCCGTTGCATATGACTAACTACTACTAGATAAATGACGATCTGGATAAATGTGGAGTTAAACTGTCCAGATGGTTCAACTCTCGGTCAGTACAGCAGGGACCAGCCCAGATTCGAATTATGTATGGGCAAGCTGACTGTACCCAAGTTGATCGAATTATCAACTTGGGTACAAACCAGCCTGTCAAGTTTCACATGTGATTATCATTGCGGGTATTATAGCAGTAATCACAGTGTTCTCCTGGCTTCCCCCGCCGGGAGAACACAAAGGCTCCACGGGAGGGATTCACAGTGACTGTATTGATGGGGGAATCGAGCGATTTTCTTTCTTTGAATGCAGTAAAGAACGCTGAACTGACTATGGCCAGCTTTACACAAGTGAACTTAATGGAGTAAATCATTAGCCCTGATTAATTAAGTTTCAAGAGTTGTTTAAAAAAATAACATGCTTTGTGCAATGGTTTTGCACAGAGCAGCCCTAATCCTCCACTTCTTGGGTCCCCTGATGGCGCTCCACGCTCCTCCAGACCAAGTGCCCCCATAGCAAGCTGCTTGCTTTGGGGACACTTGTCACACACACTAAGCATGACTTGGTTTCCGCCCCCACTCTCTCCTCATTGGCTCACTGGCTGTGATTTACAGCAGCGGAAGCCAATGGCTGCAGCTGCTGTATCTAAGCCAATAAGGAGAGAGAGACCGGGGAGAGCCACTGTTCTTGTGCACATTGCTGGATTGAGATGGGGCTCAGGTAAGTACTAGGAGGCTGTGGGGGGGAAATTGGTTGGAATAGAATGCATCAAGGTAAAAAAAAAAACTGGAGACTTTAGAACTACTTTAATAACAACTATGTATTTTCTGTTCTGTTCAATCTTTGGACAAAATGTAAATGTAGACATCAGTTCATTTGTGCCTTCCCATACTGAGGTCACCCTTTTAGCAAGCCTGCATAAGTACCGTATTTTTTCGCTCCATAAGACGCACCTGACCATAAGACGCACCTAGGTTTTAGAGGTGAAAAAAAAACAAGAAAAAAAAAAAATATTCTGAACCAATGGACTGCAGACACAGTACAGGGGATGACCAGAGACTGCGGACACAGTACAGGAGATGACCAGAGACTGCAGACACAGTACAGGAGATGACCAGAGACTGCAGACACAGTACAGGAGATGACCAGAGACTGCAGCGGACACAGTACAGGAGATGACCAGAGACTGAGGACTGCAGACACAGTACAGTGAGATGACCAGAGACTGCAGACACAGTACAGGAGATGACCAGAGACTGCAGACACAGTACAGGAGATGACCAGAGACTGCAGACACAGTACAGGAGATGACCAGAGACTGCAGACACAGTACAGGAGATGACCAGAGACTGCGGACATGTACAGGAGATGACCAGAGACTGCGGACAGTAGTACAGGAGATGACCAGAGACTGCGGACACAGTACAGGAGATGACCAGAGACTGCGGACACAGTGCAGGAGATGACCAGAGACTGCGGACAGTGCAGGGGATGACCAGAGACTGCGGACACAGTACAGGGATGACCAGAGACTGCGGACAGTACAGGGAGATGACCAGAGACTGCGGTGCACACCAGTGCAGACAGTGCAGGGAATGACCAGAGACTGCAGACAGTGCAGGGACACAGACTGCAGACAGTGCAGGGATGACCAGAGACTGCGTGCAGGGAATGACAGAGACTGTAGACAGTGCAGGGAATGACCAGAGACTGCGGACAGTGCAGGGAATGACCAGAGACTGCAGACAGTGCAGGGAATGACCAGAGACTGCAGACAGTGCAGGGAATGACCAGAGACTGCAGACAGTGCAGGGAATGACCAGAGACTGCAGACAGTGCAGGGAATGACCAGAGACTGCAGACAGTGCAGGGAATGACCAGAGACTGCAGACAGTGCAGGGAATGACCAGAGACTGTAGACAGTGCAGGGAATGACCAGAGACTGTAGACAGTGCAGGGAATGACCAGAGACTGCAGACAGTGCAGGGAATGACCAGAGACTGCTGACCTTTGGGGAGGGAGGGGGAGCGGGTACCTGAATTTGACAGGTACCCGCTCCCACTTCCGCGGAGTTGCCTTCCCTCTTCTTCCCGGGCCGGCTTCTGTGACAGCCGGGTGCCCACTGCGCATGTGCGAGAAGCGCAGCGTTTTGTGAATGGCCCGGCGCCTTCTGGGACCTTTCATGTGTCCCAGAAGACACCGGATCATTCACAAAACGCAGCAAATGCGCAGTGGGCACCCGGCTGTCACAGAAGCCAGCGCGGGAAGACTGTGCAGTGCTGGAGCGAGGAACAGGTAAGGCCCTGCAGGAGACAACAGCTGAGCGGCCGGCCCGGTATTCTGACATGGTGGCCGCAAAAATACCGGACCGGCCGCTTTATATTCGCTCCATAAGACGCACTGACGTTTTCCCCCCTTTTTTGGGGGGAAAAAAGTGCGTCTTATGGAGCGAAAAATACGGTACCTCCTTTTTTCTGGCCCGATTATGCGGCTGACACTTTCCCGGCAAGTCTGATGTCTTCCGTCAGCTACCATATGGCAACTGAATGTGCAGACAGACGTTAAGTAATGTAACTGAATAAAAAATGTTTGTGACATTGAAAGGAAGCCACATAGAAGATATTTTATATTCTCAAAGTTTAAGCATATCAATAGTTTATGAACCATATAGGAAGCAGACTGTTTCTTCCAAGTACAGGAAAACATATAAGTGTCAATAAACTGGTTTTGAAACAAACGAGAAAGATGAACATCACTGAAAATAGCAATAAGAATTAGAACCTATTAATAAGACAGAATTATTTCACTGATCCTTTTATATGTAAAAACTTATATGGTAACCAAAGACAAATTTTCATAAAACTTTCCTAGAGCAGATCCAGTAATATATGTCAACATGTCCAAAATAAATTAATGTGTCTTAGATAAGGAAATGTTTAAGGCACCAGAGTTACTCTCTGCTTTATGTCTGTATCCTAACAGATGTCGGATTTTACCAATAGGATTGTGCCAAGAACAGAAAGCAGGATATTCGCCCTGACCCTGATGATTTATGGCTTTTCTTCCCCTTCCACTCCTAGGCGGAAAACTTTACACTTCATAGGTAAAACTCTAGATGTCTGATCATATTTTACAATATATGAGGCGAAAGAACAAAAGTGAAATAAAAAAAAAATAGCACTGACATCACCACAATACGATTTACTGGTTTATTTGGCTTTAAAGGTAACTGTATACTATATTTATAGAATAAAGTTCTATATAGTGGACCATTTAGTAACTTTACAAGTCTGCAGGAATACATTTTTGACACATCACTATAAATACATATAACTTTACTACTATTTACCATTAAAAAAAGGTAAACTCCAGTCAGGTGACTGTGCTAGATCAGTGTCTTAAACAGAACCTGTCACCAATTTAAACACTGCTAGTTAAAAGCACAGAAAAATCAAGTATTTGAGATGCTTGCTTGCAGTTTTTTTTTTTCTTCAGTAATTTATTTTTAATGACCTGCAATGTGCCTTTAAAGTGTTACTAAACCCAGGACCCTGCAGTTACTATATCTGGTCTCCCACAGTACACACAACATGAAAGCCTTGCAATGGCAGTAAAGAAAAGGGTAACTATTTAAGTGGGGGAAAAAAAATAGAAAAAATAATAGACATGATTGCTACACAAACCACACTGTAATTTAATGTTATTAAAAATATCTTTTGTTTTCAGTTTGGATTTGTTTTTCTAAAATTCTGTGCATTATGGCAACCTGGAGGCAGTTAGTGTACGGAATGCCCCAGAAATGTAATTTCCTGCACTCTTTTGAAGCTGACCAAGCACAGACGTCACCAGCTTCTTCCCTGGTCTGGGAGGTTGCAACATGGGACCAGTCAGAGCTGCACACCTCCAGGTTAACTTTTCCCAGGGGAGATCAGTGAATGGAAGTTGCTGCTCTCCATCGTAACAGGTTCTAGGCATTCAGAAGGGACAGGTGAACCCAGGATCACATGGTGGGCTGGCCACATCTTCTAAAGCTTGTAGAAGTGATTGGATGATTTTAAAATGTTCCAGTTGACTTTTTCTACATAGCCAGCAGCAAAAAGTTAAAAGTAAAATACTGTTTACTTGACAACACGTCCACTGATATAATACTTTTGTTGCCAGCCGTGAAAAAGTTTAAAGGAATATAATCTTAAAGGAATATTTTTGAGCAGCATGTAACCTCTAGTATAAAAGTATGACTCAGCAAATGAGTAGTAAGTGATTTGCTTAGATAGGATATCATGAGCTATCCAGCATTACTTTAAATACAGTACGTACTGCCTTCCCTCCTATTCAGTTCCACTATATGAAATAAATGGGACTTTTCAGGTACATTTGAATGCTATGCAACAAAAAACAAAAAAAAAAAAAAAAAAAAAAAAAGGATGAAGAGGGAAATCATCATCTAAAATTTTTCTCAGCTTTATTTACATTGTATACAATTAAACAATTATATGGTAACGCTACAAATTCAAGCTAGTATCCAATATTTTTGTTTAAACAGCTTCAATCAGTGACGATAGTTCAGGTTCATCGGCACTCTTTTTCCAAGGTCTAACCTAAGATTATATGCAATTTAAGGTTTCCAAAACATGTTTTATAGTTTACAGAATATTCAGTAGTTTCCTGGTATTTACCAAACACGTCTCATGAAGTTGGTTCATTCCTACAGGAGAGTAGTGACTTTTTAAATATAATTTTCCTCTTTTTTGGAAGATAGAATTCAAATGTACCTGAAAAGTCCTATTTATGTAATAACATATGTGAAACAAATTCTTCTGCATAAGGCAACCATACATTAATCATTTTTTCATTCAACAGGCAGGTTGAAAGACAAAAACGATCTGATTCCCCCATCCACACAATTGATGTGGATATGGGAATCCTCCCTGCTGAACTATTGAGTTCTGAAAATAGGGAGATTTCCCTCATCTCAGAACACACTGATTAGTGCTGCCAGCTATAGCTGTGATACTGATCGATCGGGAGAAACCCAACAGGCTGGCTGTATAGAAAATTGATCAGTAAATCAAATTCTGTAGAACCAGGGTGCCCATACATGGATCAAAATTCAGCTGGTCACTAATGAACTGGCCAAGTTTCGATCCATGTTGGGCTGGCTTATGTGTACCTGTTTATCTGCAGTCATCTCCTATCCACAGCAGTTTAAATAGGTCTCTATGAATAAGCCCAAACAGGCTGAAAAGTATTACAAGGGCATGGCCTAAGGTGTCTTTTTGGAAGCAAGCTGCATAAAATAAAGCCTACTTTGCGATTCGGAGTCCAGCTCAGTCTTCACTTTTTGCTACAGCAGCTGCAAAGCCACCCTTCACAAACCATGGCTGCATGTGGTAAATATGAATTAGGAATAAATGTTATGTTCTGTCTGAAACAGACACTCCTAAAAATCTTGGTTTGTTGAGCTAGTTAGTGCACTTAAGACTTGCAGGTTGTTTTTTTTTTTTTTTTTTTAAACCAACAGCCTTTTACACAGTGCGCTTGGGTGAGACACATTTAAGTAAGTTAATGATAGTTTAGTGATTTTTTTTAATTAGAATGTAATAAATATAGACCACCATCCCTTTCCTCTGGATTGTTTCAATGTAGTTAAAATCTATTTTGCAATTATATTGAGCAGCTGAAATAAATAATCATACCTCAATTTCATCACTGGCAAGCTGACGCTCTCTCTTTTCTACATCTGCCAGGGTTTTTTGTAATTGCTCTTGCAGAGCTGTGCATTCAGCAACCTAAAAAAAAAAAAGAAAAAAAAAAAAAAAAAAAAAAAAAAAAGAAAGATATGTTTCACTTGACAAAAATATTGCATTTAATCAACCAAATATTGATATTTTGACTTTTCTAACTTTTAGCATGTGTTCAGATTCAGTTTTATCCTTGAAAACAAACAATCATCCTGCTGGGGATTATGAAGAACAGAAATTCATACTGTGCAGTTCTTTCATGTGTTGGGAGTCTTTAAACAAACAGTTTCTTTTAAATGCATTGCAGGTACATTTCAATTGTTGAGAAAGTTAGTGCCAACTTGTAATTTAGGTAGACATGCCGATAACAAGAAAAATAAATAAATAGTGAGCCACCCTCAATTACACTATTGTTTAACCCCTTTCGGCCCACAATGCCCTGTCCTGAGAATATGTTAAAGCCTATCTCCAGGGAAAGTAAAAATCCTCCCTTGCAGTGGGGGTTAAATGCTATACTTCTCCAATGGATCACAGGAGTGCACTTCATTCTGCACTCCTGTGACCCATTTTAAGCTGACAGCAGCCCAAGGCCCAATTTTGGTTGATGTCACTCAGCCAGTCCTGGCTCTGGAAAGATCTCAACTTTAAAATTTGGGATCCACCCAGATGCATGGACTGGCAGCTTGCTAAGCCTCTCAGCGCACCGCTGAGTGCCTGAGCCAGCCCACTCCCACCCCATCTATAGCCCAGCTCTCCAATGAGCACTGGTGGGGCAGAGCAGAGAGCCAGTGACTGACAGTCAGTGGCTCTGTGCTTGGCGAAGACCAAGAACTGAGCAGTCAGAGAGGTTTGATCACTCAGTTCTCAGTTTTTATTCCCATACTTTTTTTTTTAATTCTTTATTTTGGAGAAATAGTATGACAACTTTTACAGTAAGAGGACATTATATTGGAATGTAGATAGATTTGGCACAGCAATAGGCACACAGTTATGTGTCCATTCATACACCTTATAAAGCTCTGAAGTATGCAATACAATTAGTACATGTGAAGTTGATCCATTTTAACCACATCCCCAGAACACAAAAGAAAAAAAAAAAAAAAAAAAGACAAATCCATCCAGGTCAACCAATGAAAAAAAAAAAAAGTTGTAATCCTACACCCACAGTTGATCCAGAGGACGGTAAAAAAAAAAACAAAAAACTGGAAAGCATGATCCAATTTTGCTCCTGCAGGGGAAAAAAAATCCCTTCTTGATCCCCCAAGAGGCAAATCGGATATTCCCTGGATCAACTTTACCTATAAATGTTAGTATCCAGTTATATTCAGTGATATGTATCCAAGAAAGAATCCAGGACTTTTTTTAAAGCAATCCACTGAGCTGGCCAGAACCAACTCTTGAGGGAGTCTATTCTACATTTTCACAGCTCTCACTGTGAAGAAACCTTTCCGTGTTTGGAGATTACATTTCTTTTCCTCCAGACGTAAAGAGTGTCCCCTTGTCCTCTGTGATGACCTCAGGGTGAATAGCTCTACACCGAGTTCACTATATGAACCACTGATGTATTTATACATGTTGATCATATCCCCCCTTAATCTCCTCTTCTCAAGAGAGAATAATTTCAGTTCCTCCAATCCTTTCTCATAGATGTCTCTTATCAGTTTAGTTGCAATTCTCTGTACTTTCTCCAGTTCCCCAATGTTCCTTTTGTGAATTGGTGCACAAAATTGAACTGCGTATTCCAGATGAGGTCTTACTAATGATTTGTACAGGGGTAAAATGATATCTCTCTCTCTCTCTCTGGAGTCTATACCTCTTTTAATACAAGAGAGGATTTTGCTCGCTTTAGAAACCGCAGCTTGGGATTGCATGCCATTATTAAGCTTGTGATCTACCAGAACTCCCAGATCCTTCTCCACCATTGATTCCCCCAGTTGTACTCCCCCTAGTATGTATGATGCATGCATATTCTTAGCCCCCATGTCATAACCTTACATTTATCAATATTAAACCTCATTTGCCACATAGTTGCCCAATTACCGTACTTTTCGCCGTATAAGACGCACCTGACCATAAGACGCACCTAGGTTTTAGAGGCAGAAAACAGGGGAAAAAAAAATTCTGAACTAATGGACTGCAGACACAGTACAGGAGATGACCAGAGACTGCGGACAGCACAGGGATGACCAGAGACTGCGGACAGCACAGGGATGACCAGAGACTGCGGACAGCACAGGGATGACCAGAGACTGCGGACAGCACAGGGATGACCAGAGACTGCGGACAGCACAGGGATGACCAGAGCCTGCGGACAGCACAGGGATGACCAGAGCCTGCGGACAGCACAGGGATGACCAGAGCCTGCGGACAGTACAGATGACTGCTGACCTTTGGGGAGGTGGGGAGCGGGCACCTGAATTTGACAGGTACCCGCTCTTACTTCCGCAGAGTTTTTTGTTTGATCTTACCTGTTCCTCGATCCAGCCGCGCGCTGTCTTCCCGGCTTCTGTAATGGCGCTCGGCATGACAGCCGGGTGCCCAGTGCGCATGAGCAAGAAGCACTTGCGCTTTGTGATTGGTCCGGCGGCTTCTGGGATCTGTCATGTGTCCCAGGTACCGCCTTACCATTCACAAAAAGCACCACTTCTTGCGCATGCGCACTTGGCACCCGGCTGTCATGCCCAGTGCCCACACTACAGAAGCCGGGAAGACAGCACGCCGCTGGATAGAGGAACAGGTAAGGTCCCGCTGCAGAGCTGAGCGGCCGGCCCGGTATTCTGACACGGCCGCGGTGGAAATACCGGACCGGCCGCTCCATATGACGCACTGACATTTCCCCCCCAGTTTTGGGGAAGAAAAAGTGCGTCTTATACGGCGAAAAATACGGTAAACAGTGCATTGAGGTCATACCATTTCCTCTTTTGTTTTGTAAATTTACCATTGAAAAAAGAAAACAACATTCAATCCCAGTGGGAATGGATAGAACAGAGGGGTGAATAAACAACACGTTTAGAAAAAGGAGAAAAAAAAAAATTTGGAGGGGGGGGGGGGGGGGCGACGTCCTCCTATCCTCTTGGCTTCATGCTCGGGTGATCCAGTGTAAGGAGCTTCGCGCCTGCCCAACTCATGATTGTAAGGCCAGCACGGTTTGTTCTTTGTAGGAGAAATTAGGGGTCCAGAGCATCATGGTCATGTTTTCCATTTCTTGAATCTCATTGATTCGGGCAAGCCAACGTGTTTTGGTAGGGGGTAGTGGATTTTTCCACTGTGCTAGGATGCAGGCTTTCGCCGCGTTGAGAAGATGTTTTAAGAGAGAGTTCTTGTAACGTTTGTTTGAAAGGGGTATGTAATGAAGGAGAGAGCTGCAGGATTTCCTCCAAGGGATACTCCTGTTAAAGGTTTGTACCGTCTGTTCCACCATGGTTCATAAGTCTCACAGCTTGGGACACTCCCAAAAAATGTGGAGTAGAGACCCCACAGAGTTCTTGCACCGCCAACATGAATTCAAGACCTGGAAGAACATATGACGAAGTGCCTCTGGTGTCCTGTACCATCTAGTGAGAAGTTTGTATCCCTCTCCTGGTATCTACTGGCAAGGACGTCTTGGGGACAAAGAGTAAGATTCTGTCTTTTTGCTTTTGAGAAAAGGTAATGTTTAGGTCCCTTTCCCAATGCTGTAAAAATGGGAGTTCAGGCGGAGCCTCGGAAGATATCAATGAGGCATACAAATGAGAAAGCGAGTGTCGTAGGGATTCACCAGACATTCATATACTCTTGAACGAGGACGTTCCCGCAAATTGATAAACTCTGTGGGTAAAGTAAGCCCCCAGTTGTGCCCTCCTGAGAAAATCCAAATTTGAAGAAAAGGCTGGTTCTAACTCCTTAGTCGTCATGAGATGACAATTCCTGGAGAAATGTAATATGCGAAAGAGACCTCTTTTGGAGAGTGCTATGAAATGTGGGTCCTGAAGCCCAGGTAGGAATCCAGCTGCCCCTATTATGGGCATCATAGTATTTGGGTGCGGGGAGAGATTAGTGGCTTTGAAAATGCCCATGGACACCTGTAGTTTTGCTCCTACTAATGGGTGCTGTCTGACTGATAATGGCAGCGAAGCCCACATATGCCAAGGAAGGCCAGCCAAGGGCAGATTGACCGTAGTTTGTTCAAGGTATACCCACAATTTTGCACTGTGCGTAACACACCAGTCAACAACTCTTGAAAGATGTGCCACTTTGTGGTACTTCACAGGGTTTGGGAATCTCGCTGCTCTCCAGGCCATGGGCAAGGAGAGGATATTCCTCTGAAGCCGTGCCTGTTTGCCTGCCCAGACAAATTTCAGGAAAGTAGACCTCAACGCTGGTAAGAAACCGGACGGTAGTCTCACCGGGAGGGCCTGAAGCAGATCGGTAAGCATATTCATCTTCAAAATATTTATGAGCCCGAATCAGGTGAAGACCTCTCAGTCCCAGCATAGGAAGTCTGATTTGATTGTCCTAACTAGAGGGGCAAAATTGAGTTCAAATATCCGTCGTAGATCCCCAGGAATATTCGTTCCTAGAATAGTCATCCGCATAGGCGGCCAGTTTGTGTTCCATTTCCTTGGCCGTGATGCCCTTAATATCTGGATGGTCCCTGATGGTCCTCAAGAAGGGTTCCATTGTGAGAACAAAAATTAAGGGTGATAAAAGGTCATCCCTGCTGGGTCACATTACGGATAGGGAACGCATCAGAGAGCACCTCATTGACCCTGACCTGTGGGGTGGAATAAAGTGCGGAAAGCCACTGTAGCAATCCCTCCCCCATTCCGATATGTTCCATAGTGGCCCTCAGAAACGGCCATGAGACCCTATCAAATGCCTTCTCCGCGTTATCAGAGAAAAGCAATAAGGGGACTTGTGTCGAAAGGGAATAGCGTATGGACGCTAGGACACGTGTGTTATCTCAGCACTCTCTGTCCGGGGTAAAGCCCGATTGGTTGGGGTGCATCAACAAAGGGAGGATGTGCAATAGCCTGAAAGCCAAAATGTTTATGAATATGTGCACACTGAGTAAGGAAATGGGGCGAGAATTCGGACAGAGAGCCAAGCCCTTCCCTTTCTTATGTATCACCGTAATGTGGGCCTGTAAAGAAGCTTCTGGAATCGCGTGACCCTCCCTGAAGGAGTTGAATACCGCCGTAAATTTAGAGGCCAATTTCTCTGCATATAAGTCAGCATGTAACCATCAGGTCCGAGTGCCTTGCCAGGTTTCATGGAAACTAACGCTCCCAGAAACTCGTCAATGGACAGTGGGGCTTTCCAAGTCTGAAACGGCTTCCTCCGACAGGGTGGGCATCCTTGAGGCTCGAATGTATTCTCAAGCTGCCACGTGTCTTTCCTGCTGTGAGAGCGTTGAGGAGTCACCCACCAATTTGTATAGGGAGGTATAATATTCCTTAAATGCTTGGGCAATCTCCGAGGAGGAAATTGTGGTATGCCCAGTAGATTTCATCTTCGAAATGTACGTTTTTGCATTGGCAGATCTAAGGGCATTGGCTAGGAGTCTACTGGGTTTGTTCCCTTATTCATAAAAGGCCCTTCTCACATGAGCAAGTTTTGCCTTAGCCTGATCAGCAAAGCAGGGAATTCAAATTATCTCTCAGGGTCTGAGCTTCTCTTCAGCCTGCTAGGCTTGAGATTTCTTATGTACTTGCTCTAGTGCTCGTACTTTGGTCAAAGTAGATTCCATCTGAGAAGCGAGAGTTTTCTTTCTGTGAGTTCCCAGGCTAATGAGGACTCGTTGAAGAATGCATTGGAAAGCCTCCCAGAGAAAATATGGGGAAACATCCTCAGTGGTATTGGTCACAAAAAAGGAGTCTAATTCCTGCGTGATCCGCCCTTTATTTGGGGTCCTGCAGGAGAGACTCATTCAGCTTTCAGTGCCAAGTCTGATGGACTTGCTCAGCCAGCTCCAAAGAACAATGAGTGGGGGTGTGATCTGATAGTGTAAAGGATCCAATGAAGGTGGAGAAGAGAAGTGGGAGTGCACTTTGTGTGACAAAGATATAGGTCGATCCTGGTATATGTTTTATAGTTCGGTGAATAGAATGTAAAATCCCTATCATGAGGGTGGCGCAACCTGCAACTGTTAACTAGCTGGTGGCCATGGAGCAGCACTCTAGTCTTGCGCAATTTGGAATATGGAAAATGCGAAGCTCCTATCGACACGTCTTGTAATGGGTCCAGGGCCAAGTTTACAGCCCCCCCCCAATATCAGTGTCCTCTTGCAGTGTTGGTCCACTAGTGAGAGATAAGTCGCCAATGATGATACTGGATCCTCATTCGGCAGGTACATGTTGACTAAAGTGACTCTCTGTCCACAAAGGTCTCCCCTGATCAGAAGAAATCCACCCTCAACATCAGTAACAATTTGGATTTCAACCAACTGTTCTCGTTTTGAAAGGAGAATCATCACACCCACAGACTTAAAGGACGGGGAGGCGCTGTGGTATGCCATAGCAAATCAAAAATTTCCCAGTTTTGGAATCTTGTCCCTGCAGAATAGAGTCTCCTGGAGGAAAACAATATGAGATCTTTGATGCCACAGTTCGTTTAATAGCTTACTTTGTCTCACCGGCTATTCAATACCTTCACATTATATGTCATGAAAGTGACCTTGGGCATCGTGAGCTACAGCCAGGAGGAGAGGTGGAGGGAAAGAAAGAAAAAAAAAAAAAAAAAAAGGGGGGGGACTGAGGAAGAAGTAAGGTAAGAGAAAGAGAAAAGCTAGGAGGATGGATAGAAGAGAAGGAGAAGCAGGCCGGGCGCGATGCACAGTCCTCACCTGAAAAAGGCTGAACCTGGTGTTCTGAAACGCCCCCTACCAGGCCCCCCAAGTGTGGGGAGGTGGTCGACTAGGACAGTGTACTGAATGTGTCTAATAAGCGGGGGCGGGGAGAGTGCGGCAAGGAGGGGAAAGGTAAGGAAAAAGGGGGGTGGACGAAGAGAAAGTCCCAGGCTATAAGCGGATGCTGTCCCCAGTACTGCTTCCAGACTGTGACCCTCTAGGACAGGGGTCTCCAAACTTTTTAAGCAAAGGGCCAGTTTACGGTCCTTCAGACTTTAGGGAGGCCAGACTGTAGCTGGTGGGAGTAGAAAAGCCCTGGCATCAGTGCCCCATCATCAGTTTTATATAGGAGGAATAGTGCCCCATTGTTGATATCAGCGAGAAAAATAGTGCTCCATTGTTGACATCAATGAGAAGTATAATGCTCCATTGGTGGTGTCAGTAGAAGGAATGGTGCTCCATCACTGGTGACAGTTGGTGGAATAGTGCCCCAAGGGCCAGATAAAGGCAAGCAAAGGGCCACATCTGGCCTCCAAGCCGCAGTTTGGAGACCGATGCTCTAGGAGATTGTTTCTAGAGACCAATATCCTCCTCATGTATGACGGAAGACCGAGATAGCCAAAAACTGGGTGCAGGGAGCCACCGGGGTCAGCCGTTCACTGTGCTACATGGATAAATACATTTTAACAAACTAATGCCTCAGTCCTCTAAATCGGTGCCAAAGCGCCATAGGCATTAAACCTGATAACTGTAACAATACGACTGTATCTTATAAACCATGAACAGTCAGATAAAACCATAAACAACACAACAACATTCTTGGATTATCCCCTTCTGTTGGGTTCAACTAAAACACTGTGCACAAAAAAACGTTGTCGCTAGCTTACTCAAGGGATCCGAGAGAGGGGGTAAACTCCCCGCACTCTAGTGAGTGTGTGGAGCATAGACACCTGAGTAGAACTCACTAGAACAAATAATGGGAGGTACGTCAGTCATTATTTGAATGACGGGCCCAACAGCGCCTATAGAGCTACTTAACTGGCGAATACCTGGAGCCATAGAGTCGACAGTGGCAGAGACCACAGGTTACTTAGTATTATGTGCCAGAGTCTTTTACACTTAACAGAGGTCCGTTTACCTTGTTGGCTCCATTGGCAAGAACAATATAGTCACCTTTAATGACCGGGTCAGGCAGGGTAGGAGAACAGAGGAAGAAAGAGGAGGCGAGAGTCCAATTCACAAGGTCTGTGTCTGGCTTGTAGCTCATGTGTTGTACTGATGATCAGTCCTCCCTGACTGCAGGTTCCGGGTGAGCTGGAGCAGAGCTCGGGCGCATCTGTCTTTGAGGCTTTGGGCGAGATCCGGGAAAAGCTTTTCGAAGGCGCCGAAAGATACAATCAAATCGGGGACTGCCACTGCTTTACAATCCAGGAAATTAAACAGCTGCTGCAGTTGAGCAGGACGTTGGAGCTGGAAGTCGCGATTATCCTTTTTGACCGTTGAGGATAGAGGGAAGCCCCATATGTAGGTTGCACCTTGAGCTCGCAGATGGTTCAGCAATGGCCTCATCTGGTGCCGGCGGCAAAGTGTTTGGGGATACAAGTCCAGAAAGAGCTGCACTGTGGCCCCATTAAAATCCAGAGAGCCTCTTCAGAATGTCCTCTTTAATAGTATAGAAGTGTACTCTGCATAGCACGTCTCTCGGCTCCGACAGAGGGGTGAATGGTTGCCGGAACGCTGTGAACCCGGATCTATATTAAAGATGCTCGTTGCCATTGTTCTTAGGTCAGCCCTGGAAGTGGCCTCCGGATTGCTCTGGAGCTTGACATTATTCCACTCCTGTTCTCTGCATCTTCCTGCTGCAGCTGCAGGGTAAGCAAGCGTTGGTATTGGCGATGCAGTAGGTCTTCCATGGCTGAAATGCTAGAGACGGTGCCCTTCTGTTGGGCCTCCAGAGCCGTCAGCGTCTGTTCTGCTGCTGAAGTTTGCAATTTCACCTCGAAGAGCCCCCATAAGCTGGACGAGCATCTGCTGAATGTCTCCCTTAGTAGGAAGGGCTTATAGGAGTCGGCGGATGTCCTGGTTATCCGAGGGAGAGAGCTTCGTTGGGCTGTTGGGTCTGGTGGAGTAGTCTAGGGAGTCCATTACTGGCAGCATGGGGGGTAGGAATAGGAGATTGCGGATCGTCAATTGTGGGTGTGTGGATCGTCAGAGCTCCCAGAGAACACGTGGCCGCAGCTGGTGGTTGGCGGGAACGCGCCCATGATGGAACTCGTGGCGGTGCTCAAGTCTTCAAGTACAGAGAGGTAGTGAGTGATGTATTGGCAATTAGGGGTGCTGGGTGCGTCCGTAGGTTTTCCCCGCTTCGGCATGGAGGAATAGGGCCAGCAGATTGAGTAAGTTGCTGAAATATCCCCCGCTTCGGCACAGAGCTCAGCACTGGAGCTTCCTCATGCCGCAATAGCTGAGCCATGCTAACCCCCATACTTCTCTTTTGACTAAAGGACTTGTGTGTGTTCTCATTCTGAAGAAAAAGTTGCCAGTATTTGTTAAGGTGTTAAAGATTTCCATACAGTTCATACAGATAATCTATGACTCTAGTATGCAGCACTGAAATGTTTTCTCTGAAAAAGCTTAAGATGGTCAGTCAACATAAAAGCAATATTTAAGTTAAGGGTGGTGCCTGGAATTAGCCCCTGGCTTTTTATACTCCAAGAATAAAAGATCGCTCCTGTAGTTTCTGTATGTATGTGGACTGTTCCTCTCCACCTTGGAGTTTGGAGTTCCTGAATGTTTCTGTTACCTTCCCAACAATATAAAATAAATACAACTCCAACAGAGACAGCAGGACCACTAATAATGGCCACAGCAGGTGTGCAGTCCCAGAAACTCATAAACAGAATACTTCAGAGATACAAGAAATTGTCACAGGGTTTAACTTCTAAATCTCTATCAAAATGTGCCACACAACATAGATCTAAACACAGGCTACTGCAAATGAAAAAGGCTAAATGTGCATATTCATATATATGCATGGTAGGTCTGACCTTTTTCTTCACTATTGCTTCCCTTTCTTTGTCTCTCCGATTCCACTGTTCAGCTAGATCTTGTAGGTGAGCCAACTCTTTCTTCTTCAACTGTCATAAAAATGCAAAGACACAAAACAGACAGGTTAAAGGCATGCCATCCCTAGTTTTAACTTTCATTGCTGATTATCTGACTAAAAATTTCAAAGCTAAAAATGTATGAGATTTTGGCAAAATAAGTTACATACAGTACATTTTACTATGCAGGTGAAATATTGTCACCATAAAGAAATTAATTTCCCATCTCTTCTATATTCTTATCTCATTTCAGTCCTGTCAATATTTCTTAGTGTGTGGTGCCTGTACCATCAACATGCAAAATTGAAAATGTGGTCAAACTGCATGGAAGTGGTTCCTATGTTTTCAGAAGGCATGACATGGAGAGTAAAAACACAAAGACACAAAGCAGACAGTTTAAAGGCATACCATCCCTAGTTTAAACTTTAATTTCCAATTATTGGACTAAAAAATTCAAAGATAAAAAAGGTATGAAAATAAATTTTTGGCAAAATAAGTTACATACAATATATTTTACTATGCAGGTGAAATATTGTCACCATAAAGCAATTCATTTCCCATTTCTTCTTTATTCTTATCTCATTTCAGTCCTGTCAATATTTTTAGTGTGTGGTGCTTCTACGATCAACATGCCAAACTGAGGCATAATGTGGAGAGTAAAAACATGCGGAAATTAAAAATTGTAAAAATGCCATACAAAGAAAAGGCTGATACATAATAATAGACACAAAGTAAGCCAAATCCTTTGAGGTACTGCCTACACTTACATATTTTTGGTGCAGTTAAAATGATTCTTCACTCTAGAGAAAAAAAAAATTCAGCAGCTACAAATCCTGAATATGGAGGCGGGAGGGGGAAACACAAACATAACTTCCGCTCGGATACCTTTCAAAACTACCCTAGAAGGAGAACATAAAGCGGAACTTCCCTTTCGAAGTGAAGTTCCACTTTAACTGCATGAAAAAGTGCACACATTCCATGTGCACTTTTTTAAAGTCATGTGAAAATGCACACATGATTTGTGCTTTTATTGGTGGAAACACTAGAACCTCTGGAGGAAAATGGATATATGAATGGCTCAGATCATATTATACATTCCGTATAATATGATCTGAGCCATTCATATCTCTCCATTTTTCTCCAGAGGTTGCAGTATTTCCACCAAAAAAAAAAAAGCACAAATCGTGTGCATTTTCACATGCCTTTATTTGGTGCCTGATGGTAAAACAAATCTTAATATCTGAATGAAGTTTTGCAAGTTTGTGTTAGTAAAACCATAGATATCAGAACTACTTAGTGTATCCAGGTGAATTATACCTTTTTCAGGATAATTAGGCCTTCGTTTGCTGGTACATTTTTATTTTTAACTTTAGCTATATACACTGCTCAAAAAAATTTAAGAAACACTTTGAAAACACATCAGATCTCAATGGGGAAATATGTCATGCTGGATAACTATACCGAACATGGACTGGGTAATGTGTTAGGAATGTAAGGATGCCCCATCATTTGATGGAAATTAAAATTATCAACCTACAGAGGACTGAATTCAAAGACACCCAGAAAATCAAAGTGAAAAAAACTGATGCTGCAGACTAGTCCATCTTGCTGAAATTTAATTTCAGCATTTCAAAATGGTACTCAGTTTGTATAGCCCCCACGTGCTTGCATGCATGCATGCCTGACGTCGGGGCATGCTACTAATGAGACGACGGATGGTGTCCTGGAGTATTTCCTCCCAGTTCTGGACCAGGGTATCACTGAGCTCCTGGACAGTCTGAGGTGCAACATAGCAGCATTGGATGGACCGAAACATGATATCCCAGAGGTGTTCTATTGGATTTAGGTCAGGCGTGCATGGGGGCCATTCAATGGTATTAATTCCTTCATCCTCCAGGAACTGCTGCATACTCTCGCCACATGAGGCCGGGGATTGTCGTGCACCAGGAGGAACCCAGGACATACTGCACCAGCATAGGGTCTGAAATGTGTCCAAGGATTTTATCCCGACACCTAATAGAAGTCAGGGTGCCATTGCCTAGCCTCTAGAGGTCTGTGCATCCCTCCATAGATATGCTTCCCCAGACCGTCACTGACCCACCACCAAAATCGTCATGCTGAACGATGGTACAGGTAGCATAATGTTCTCCACGGCTTCTCCAAACACTTTCACGTCTGTCACATGCTCAGGGTGAACCTGCTCTCATCTGTGAAAAGCACAGGATGCCAGTGGTGGACCTGGTAATTCAGGTGTTCAATGGCAAATGCCAATCGACCTCTATGGTGCCGGTGAGCACAGAGGACGTTAGGTCCTCAGACCACCCTCATGAAGTCTGATTGGTCAGAGAAATTCACACCAGTGGCATGCTGGAGGTCATTTTGTAAGGCTCTGGCAGTGCTCATCCTGTTCCTCCTTGCACAAAGGAGCAGATACCGGTCCTGCTGATGGTTCAAGGACCTTCTACGGCCCTGTCCAGCTCTCCTAGAGTAACTGCCTGTTTCCTGGAATCCCCTCCATGCTCCTGAGACTGTGCTGGGGGACACAACAAACCTTCCGGCAATGTCACATATTGATGTGCCATCCTGGAGGAGTTGGACTGCCTGTGCAACCTCCGTAGGGTCCAGGTATCACTTCATGCTACCAGTAGTGACACTGACCCTAGCCAAATGCAAAAACCAGTGAAAAAAAAAAAAAAAGTGTCAGAAAAGATGAGTAGGGAAAAAAGGTCAGTAAAACCATTCCTGTTTTGGGGGTCATCTGATTGTTGCCCATCTAGTGCACCTGTTGTAAATTTAATTAACACCAAAGAAGCTGAAACTGATTAACAACCCCCTCTGCTACTTAACTGACCAGATCAAAATCCCAGGAGTTTAACTGACTTGATGCTATACTCTGATTAATAAGTGTTCCTTTAATTTTTTTGAGCAGTGTATTTCCAGCCATAACCATGACCCACCACCAAAAATAAAAATTTCCTACTCCTGACATTCACTGCAATATCCTATGTGGTTATTTTTGTTTGTACCAATAGTAGGGCCAATAAATAATAGTGTGCATTTTGTTTTTATGGTTATTTTTTAATACTACCTAAAACATACTGACACTAAAGTTTTACTGATTGATCACTTTGATAGTCAATTGTAGGCTATCACTGGAATGATGTGACTGGGAGGCAGTTTCCTCCTGGCTCCAGAAGCGGTTGGTGACAGCTTGGCCACCGTGCTGGGAATGTGCTATGAAGTGCAGTTCCAGCACAAACACCGATGCCCATATATACAGCACCTCGGAAGAGGACCCAATTATGTGATCCTGTATATATGTGTGAGGCCGACAAACAGGTTAGTAGTTGAAAGCCTATAGGAAATAACAGTGTTAACAGGTACACAATGCAAACCACCAGCCTGAAGAAAAATCAGCACATAAAATAAAATGTAAAAAAAAAAAAAATTAATTATAGATAATCTCAAATGAGCTGGGCATAAAACTGTCAGCCACATAGTGACTAGTACCCAAACAGTAGCTGCATCTGATTGAAAACAAATACCTAGCACTGAAATTCCTCTATTAATGCTGTTTAGTGAAATCTATTAAATGGGCTGAGCAATTAATGACTTGGGGAGCATAGCTATTCACTAATGTTTACTTTTGTACTGATTTTAACAAACACTAAATATCTGACAGCCAAAGAACCTGTGCTACCTGTTTTGTCATCACTTGTCCTACGCAACCAGTTAAACATTTTAGACTCTGCAACATTAAGTGTTCCACTCAGTGTATATTCAACATAATATAAGCTCTAAACAGGCCTGGGAAAGCTATGTAATAAATGCAGCCGTGCCAAAACACCAGAAGGGTAAAGTCCACAATGTTCCAGAGTTATTCAATAACAAAGACACAAGTTTATATTAATCAAAAAAAAAAAAGAATCATATGAACAATACATAACTGCTGCCAACAATATCTATATTGATACTAAAAAGATCATCACAATGTTGGCAAATAATAATTATATGAAGAGCTAATGTAAGTGAAACATCTACATGTCAAGAGATGAAGAAAAAAGTGCTCCAGTTTTTGGGAAGATAACTTTGCTTAAAATTTCTGATTTCTCGACATATTGAAAAACACCAATGATATTTTAAAACCAAGCAAAGCTGAAATCCAGCCTTGCATAACCCCTCCTAGCATACCTCAATTTTGTAACAAGCAATAAGAAGTATTAAACAGGGAAGGGACTTGTGATGTATAAAAAAAAAAAAAAAAAAAAAAAAAAAAAAAAAAAAAAGGATTTTACAGGTAAGTAAAATAAAAAAAAATAAAACATCCTGTTTTCAAATCGATCACAGGAAGAAGTGAATTCTTAGACCAGGCATGGTTTCATCAAGGGCTGTTTGCAGACACCAGCTTCAGCCAGAAGGTTCTTCAGAGGCTTGAACATCCACCTGTTAGAGCTTAAAAAAAAAAAAAAAAGTGTGAGCAGAAGACCAGGTGGCAGCTTTGCAGACTTGGGAACTGAAACCTGATGAGAGGTTCATGAGCACCAATGCAATGGAAAAGAGGAACCCCATGAATGCAGAGGTATTTGTTATGGCCGCACATGCCAAGGAAAACAACCACCGATATAGTAAGGGTCTTATTTAAATAACACAATGCAGGTTCCACAGCAGGGGCTGCTAATTTTTTTTGCGGAAATGGTCTTCCATTGGGTACTGTTGCACAAACTGATTATGAAGCACATATACCTTTTCCAGCCATTGACCAGGGCATCTTCAGTATAAGGATGCAATGGAAATAAAATCTGGGAGGGTGCAGGGGTGTTTTATGGGGATGCTTACGCTGGGCAGTGTTAAGCTTTGTCATTTGCCAGTGTCCAAACACCTGGAGGTAGACCCAATGGTCCAAGAATTAACTCCAGTTTCCTCTAATGTAAAATTAAGAAACTCTACTTTCTAACCTTTGAATACCACCTCCAGCACTAATATGCGGCTATATGAGCTTCCAAAATCTCTGCGAAAGCCAGAAGGTGTCTCCCCACCTCTAAAGCAGCTGGTAGGAGTGGGCCTTCATGCAGAGGAAGATTTATCTTCAGTTTCGATCTTTTGGTTTACCAAGGATATTTAGAACCCCATGAGCCTGAGGGGGTGGAAGATTTGTGGATCCAGAAACTGGAACCTGACATACAGAAATGAAAGGAAAGTTTTGAAAGCAGGATTGGAAGGCGCTGACCTGCGCTGTTGATCCTTATTTTTGTGTATCTGGGTAAGTTCTCATACCCCTCGTCCTCTTTTAATAATTTCAGAGAGGGTGGTCCTAACAAAGCTGCCTTTGTTTGGACCCAACCAGCACTTAAGCCAGATCACCCTGATGATCTCAATGGGAGAAAGGATTACTCAAGACTTACCAAGCTAGCATCCAGTACTGCATAGTACATAAATGTTCAAAACAGTCATCTACTCAGTTCAGGTCTGGTAAATGATTGCTGAGCCATGCATGGGTTAAAGAGGTGAACCCATCAAGAAGAAGACGGATCACAAAATTGCTTCCAACTATTTTTCATTAGGGTTTTTAAAGGATGGAGCATCTTCTATAGGAACAGTCAGAGCTATGTTCCGACGAGACACTGGATGGTCGACTGTACAGAAATGTCATGAAATGGACTACTCCTCCCACAAAGTATAGAGTGCTAGAACTGTATAAGTTTAAGGAATTGCTTGTCTGGGTGTTGTCTTTGTAGATAAAATCATGGAATAGGAGATGTTAAGGAAACACCTCTACGAACACCTGGGGAAAAACCAAAGTCAGACACCATGTTAGTGAATAGAACGCACAGACTCAATTAAAAAATAAACAGTTTTCTTCTGTTTTGGCAAAACAGTTGCTGGCTGATGTTCAGCTGGTGGGTCTCCTCTAGGGAAGGGAATGACTCAGTGTTTAACAAATAATCCTCTGAAGCAGCGCTTCCCAGAGTGGGTAAAACCTCCCCATGTCAGGGAGGGTTGGATTGGGGAGGTGGAGGGGGCACTGTAACGATCCAGTAGTAGCCACGGGTACAATGCGGGGGCATTGAATAAAAATGAGTAGGCGGTAGAAATTTCAAAACTGTTCATGTATGTTAAATCTGTTGTGTAACAGAGTTAGTTGTAGTGAGCACTTTAGTTTCCAAATAAACATACGCAAGTGCTCATGGCCTTGGTGATGTCAGGTCTCAAGACTGCTAGAACATGGGCAGTGCCGGAGCTGCAGGAACCAGTCTTGTATGGAGAGGAGGATCGGATAAGTATGTCACCTTTCATTTTTCCCCTAGGATGTGGTTAAAATTATAAATACAAAAAAAGAACGCAAATTTGTTGCTGCATCCGGTTTGTTCAATTAAAGAAAGTCAATTTCCAGGGGGGGAAGCCGAGTTATTTTTTTTCCTGAAAGGGGAGAGTAGGTCAAATAAATCTAAGAACCTCTGCTCTGAAGGATCCCTGACAGAATCAGAAATATTAGGCATCTTTGTGCCAGACTTCACTGGAGAAGTGGCAGTGGGCATTTTGAGCTGCATCATAAAACCTTGCATCACAGAAGAAAATATCTTTGCCCAAAGAAAGGAAGAATTCGTACCCACGGAAAAAAAATGGCTGCCTATGCAGGGGGTTCTGACTAAAATATATAAGCAGTGCAAAAGGCACAATATATTCCTGCACCGAGCTCAATTTTCCACATAGTGCAAATTAAACCCCAATTTGATAATCTGCCCCCAGCCACAGGGTGGCCTACATTTTGTTTGATGCTAGCCATATTGTGGATGTCCCAAAAGATTGTATACATATAAGAATAAGGCTACCTAAATACTCTAGGAATACTCATGGACCTGAGCAGTATACCAGGAATTATTTCAGCAGCAATGGCTCTGTAAATATTATTCCCAGAAGAGCTGTTTCCATTGCTAAATAAATGTGCTGATACAGAGAAGAACAAGTGGGGAGAACAGTCTCAGCAAGCCTCCACAGGACTAAGATCACTTTTTATTCAACTCGTCTCCGCTGGCATCACTCCTCTTCTGGACCCCAAGAGAGGCAGCATGCATTTTTGATGTCCACAGAAGGAAGCAATGACAGACCAGGTGGATTCTCTCTGGAATTTCTTGACTAGAATAAGGACACTCAGTGAGATCCAAAATGGAGCACATGCCCCATCTGGGATGGTGCTGTTGTATGGTAGCAAACTCACAAGTCACAACCAAAGCAGCTTTTGCAAATCATCTAGGAGGTGGTGTTAGTGGATACAAGTACTTGAACTGAAGCACAAATGCAGGACTGTTACAAAGAGAACTCAAGATAATTAACGGAGAACCTGCACTTCTTGACTGACTGGAGAGACTTCCAGGATTTTTGATATTCAGCCCAATTGCAGTAGCAGCAGCAGCTGATGTCTGGAGAAATGCAGGGCTGTAGCAGAGAGAACACCAATTACTAATTAACTGGGAAAGCCTGTTCTTGGCTGACTGGAGAGATTTCCAGGATTTAACATATCCAGCATTAACCTAAAAACAGAAAAAAAAAAAAATCTTCCTAATGAACGAGAAACATCAGAGCTGAAAAAACATGTCCATTTCCTGAGGACCTTATCAAAAAAACAGGCATGCTGTTGTGGGGGGGGGGGGGGGGGGGGGGGGGGTATCCTTTGACGGCTAACAGTTTGGTTTTTTTTGGTGTCCATTTCTTCTGTAGGCCGCAGTATAACCTGAAGGTGTAAGGGCCAATTCACCAGTGTACTGATCCGCATTTTTAGATCAGCTATAAAATGCAGAACAACAGAAGGGCATCTGAAATACAATAATTTCCAAGGTCTCCTATTCGCACCATAACGATGTGCATGCATGTCAACAGGTGTCAGCATGCATTAAAACACAAACTAAAATGGATGAAATGTAAATTTTAGCACAAATCAGTGTGAATTGGATTTAAGACTTCCCAGTTTCCCTCAATTGACAAGAAAAATTTCTATATCCCTCCAAAGTCCCCTGTAAAACGCGGCCTCTTGTAACAAAATCGCACACTTGCTTAAATACAATAAATGTCAACCAGCGTAGCCTTCTACATCCACTCACAAAAGTAAGTTTTCAGAAATGGAGACAGGTGAAAAGCTGCCACAGCTATGGTCCTGATAACTCAAAAATGAATCCCTAGGTATACTGGTTTGAGCCGAAAGCAAATTCCCATGAAAACTAGACAGATATGGGTTGTCACTGAAAAATGCAAAGTGTAGCAAACAGAACACCAATATACTTAATGACCCAGAAATGACCATTTGTTAACTGGAGAGACTCCCAGGATTTCCAATATCCAGTCAAAAGTCACCAGCAGCTGTTGATGGTAGAAAAATTCTTCCAATTCAAGTAAAAAAAAAAAAAGCAGAAGGCCTTGAGTTTCCTATGTGCCTAGTGTCCATTTCTCTAGTAGATGCCAGTTTAACCTTAGGTTGCTCATAATCAACATTTTTAAAGTATATTTTGATAATCCCATACGGAATTACACTATATATTTTTTCAAATACCATTCAAATATCTATTGGAGCATGGGTACTATAAGTACTATGGAGTACCTCCAAAAAAAGCAATGAGGACATCTAGGAGAAGGTGGTTGATGACATCTTAAAGAGCCAGACTCAGGCTTGGAAGGATTTTATTGAAGAGTGTTGCATACTCCATCAGCGATAATTAAGGCGTGTCTATAGTTGTTTTTTGGTAAGGGTGTTTATGCCTTACATTTTAGAAGTTTACACTAAAGGGTCACTTGGATTTGTATTCACAGAGTGATGCACAATCACGGTTGCTACACTGTGTTCACTTTTCACTTATAAGGTCACGTACTGCACTTTATGAGTTTTCTTTTTTTTTTTGAGGTTCTTATTTCCTTTGGGAGCCAATAGGAGGTCTCGTTAGCAAAAAAATCTGAGATTTTCATATTGGAATCAGAGATTGGAAAGACTTTACTTTTGGACACGAGTGACTCATTTATTTGAATTTTTGATAACATTTGGGTTTGGGTTATTGTTATGGTATATAATTTTTCACTAACTTTTATGTGTATGATAATATGTTTTTGCATATTGGGGTAATAAGATATTTACACTTTCAAGGGTGAAAGTTAGACCTTTTATGCCAGAGGGTTTAATATATATATATATATATATATATATATATATATATATAAAAAATTGTTTGATTTAAATTTTGGATACTGTAGATCCATATATACATTATCCACAAGCTTTATCTCTCAAAAGATGATAGAGGAAAGAAAATGACCATAACGTATGTACTCAGACAGATTGTGAGAACGGGAAATGTTTGTTGCCAACAACAAATTATCATGTTTCAAAAAAAAGAAACTGGTTGTTATGGGCAATAGCTGCACCTTTGTATAGCATTTTATCAAGGCAAATAAAATCTTAAATCTATACTCCCAAATACCTGGCTAGAAAATATTTCTTCTTGGGTTTCTTTCCATGCTTCCAGCTGCAAAACAGCTTTGTACTCAAGAGTCTCACGGGGTTCAACTGCATGTTCTGGTGGAGGCTGTACTGGAGGAGCAGGAGGAGGATTCTGAACAGCTGAGCTCTAGAGATTTAAACACAAGCCATTATATATTCACAAGTATTTACCAAGAAAGAATGGACCAATATTATTATTACAATTATACAGGATTGGTACAGAAATTTACATTTTGGCTTTTTATAAACCAATACCTGAGATGACTCTGAAACTACCACCTCTCGTACCTTCACAAGCCCATAATCTGCTAACGTTATGGTGTATGAAAGATCAGCTACTTTGCCTTTTGATCTGAAATAAGAAAGAAGAATGAATATTAGCAAAATATATGAATCGCATAAAATGAACCAAAAATATTTTCTAAATGAAAACACTAAATATTTCAAAGCTGTGCTGAAAATAATCTGAAGGTTACCACTGCTGACTTAATCCTTAAAAAAAACTCCAATATTTTACTGACCAAGAAATAGTAAGTAGAGCAGAAGAGTCTGGCAAGAACTCCTAATCCACATGCTTGTCCTGAGTCAGTGACTGTGACAGAAATGAAGCATGGCAGTCAAATAACCAATATTTTCAAAATGGACTGTGAAGAGGGATATCAATTCAGGTTTCCTTAAAAGGAGGACTTCATAATTAATAGCAAACAGGATGTGTACACTGTTATACTTGACAAATGATTTGTCGTTCTTTTTAGAGATTCTTGTGATTTGCACCCCCCTGCCACACTATATAAAAAAACACCACAGGCCTGAAAACACTGTGCAATCAAAACATTGTGCAAAAACAGAGCATTGTGGTCAATCAGATTAACAAAAAAAAATTCCATGGCATTGAACAGTGAGTGTAAGCATGACCCCGTGTCAATGGTCAGTGGTAGCAAAAAATGCCACTGTGTCAGTGAGTAATGAGGTTCTTCACAGTAGAACATGGAAAATTCAGAGATACACTGGGAAGTCAGAAGTACTTCGAGGAAAAAAGTAAAACCACAAAAGCCTGTGTTAGTATGAGCGTAAACTTTTTAACACTGTTAGGCGCTTGTTTATCACCGGCAATTCATGATATCCATCCTATACTCTTCTCTTAAAGTGATTCTAAAGGAAAGATTAAAAAAAACAAAATAAAAAAAACCAAAAACCCACAAACATGTTATACTTACCTGCCCTATGTAATGGTTTTGTACAGAACAGCCCCGATCCTCTACTTTTTGGGCCCACCCACCGGTGGTCCTGGCTCCTCCCCCCCTGCTGAGTGACCCCTATAGCAAGCCTCCTGCTATGGGGCACTCGAGCAGGCTCACTCCCAAGCTGTGCTCTGCAAGTCCATTCACACATGGAGCGTCACTCAACCACGCCCCTGCTCTCAATGGCTGTGACTGACAGCCGTGTCGGTTTTTAAAAAGTGACAGCTAGTGCAGGGAACTTCACCGTACATATGTCACAGGGATGGGTTGGGGGAAATCAGGCTGCAGCATTGGGAACATGTTACATGCTCCACCCTAAAAACAAGTTGAACATGTAACATTTTCCCCAGAGGTAAACTTATCCTTTAAGGGAAACAAACCTTGAGACTTTAGAACCACCTTGAAGTGTGGTAGGTTGTGTGATATATTTATCACAGTTTTTATGTCTTCCTTTTGTTTTCATTACAATTATTGTAAAAAATAAATAAAAATCACTGCTTCTTTCTACAGTTTAGTTCCCGAGTCCCCCATACTCCCCCATACTACCTAAGAGACTTCTCAACCCACTCTATAATGGCTACATACACTGGCTATGTTCGAATCTATGCAATACGAATGTAATTTCCTTTAACCACTTCAATACTGGGCACTTTTACCCCCCCCCCCACCCCCTTCCTTGCCAGGCCAATTTTCAGCCTTCAGCGCTCTCACAGTTTGAATGTCAACTACGCAGTCATGCAACACTGTTCACAAACTACATTTTTAGCATTTTGTTCACACAACTAGAGATTTCTTTTGGTAGTATTTAATCATTGTGTTTTAAACAAAAAAAAAAAAAAAAAAAAATTAAAAAAAAAAACTATTTTGCAAATAAAGAATTGTTCTTCATAAATTTTAGGCCAAAATGTATACTGCTACATTTCTTTGGTGAAGATAACAGAAATTTGTGTATATTATTTAGTCTGTAGGAGATTTATGGAGACCATAAACTATGGTATACATCTGAAAATCAATCAATCCTGATGTCTGCAGTATTTAGCAAGAAGCATGGTGAGTTTTTTGAAGTTGTAATTTTTTTGTTGAAATGTTTTGGAAAACAAAGAAATGACAAATTTTTCAACATTTTTTTTTTTTTTGTGTGTAAATACTGTCATCAGTGCAGTACAGCATGATGTATATATGAAATCAATTCATTGTTTTTTTTGGGGATTAGCTGTGATTGGCCACAACTAATCACATGACACAGATGGGCTGTAATTGGCCCAGTCTGTACCATGTGACCACTGTCTCCAATCACAGCTAGCAACACAATTGTATACAATGGACAGCATGAAAAGAAGCATCCATTGTTTACAATTGTCCTGTGGCCTGCTGTGATTGGTCACATGGTACTGCCAACAGGCTGGTACACAGATCTGTCATCGGCTGTATCCAAGGGACATAGCCAGTGACATATCTCACTGCAGCACGGACGTAATTTTGCTATTGGCTGGGCAGGAACCGGTTAAAGATACTCTATATTAAATCTAAAAGGCCTCTCTGTATGTATCCAAAAATGTTCTGGAAAAAAACATTTTTCGTTAGAGCATGTGCCTGGGTTAAAAGAAAAAAAAGAAGACGATGCATGTTCCACATGATTAATTTGACAATAAAACAAAAATCAAATTGATGTCACTGCAATTCACTGTTCTAAGATAACAAAGAATAAAAAACTTCCGTCGGGGTGAATACTTGTTATAGGAACTTTATGCAAGCAGAAATAAAAAAAGAATTCACAACATGAAAGATTTTGTTTGTATCCATCCATGTTAAATACAAACATTTGGTCAGTAAAAATTTAATTTTAAAGGACCCATTTATTGGACATTTACAACTACCTTAACCCTCCATAATGCGATTCTAAATTAGGACATCAAAAGTCAATGTCGATTTTGACACATTCACTTCTACTAGGATCCATCAGTGGATCTCCTCTCTAATTCAAAGGTACCTTGGCCATTAAGGAGAACACTTTTCTGATCAGCACCATGGCCAATCAAGAGACAGCTCTTGTGATTGGTGTAGCCTTAAATAGCGAAGCAACATGTGGCTCAGCTTTCAAGCAACAGGTTGCTGCACTTAACCTGAGCCCCCTGATGCTCCTGTGTCCCCCAGTATGTCCCATGTCAACATACAAGCCCTTTTATTCCCTGAGGTCTCAAGCACCCCACATGAGCCCCACATCTCAGTATGCCCCTGTGCACCTCCATGACACCTGCTCTAAGCTGCCTCCGGTACACACCTACAATCTCATAGACTGTCCTTCAAGTGGAGATACCTCTGGCCATTACAGTTGCACTCAGCAGTTCTCTGCCTTGCTATGCTTCATTGTCAGTCAGTACCCTCTGGTGCCTCTCTACCCCCAGGCATGCCCATGCAATCACATGGACTGGCTACCACTGTGTAATACGAATCGCTGTCTGTGACAGTTTGTACAATCTTGTAAAGAAATCTACCCTGCTACTAAGGTTAGAAAACAAACATTTTCTTTTCTGGACAGCACTACATATACACTGATCACAGGTGCATAAACGGTGTAAAAATGTGTGCTGTATGAGCTATTGGGCAGGCTTTAATTTCCTTTCAAACAGCACCATCTACTGGCAGTAAACATTATAACATTGCTTTAGGGAATTTAGAGTGTTTGTACAAGTGACTGACCAGGATAATATGGAAGCTGCTAATTTGTTTCTGAAGGTGCAAACTCTCACTGTGTCATCATTATTCTTCCTTTACTACTCAGTGCTTTGCAGGCCTAATACAAGTAAATGCATACCAGGTATCAGGATAAAATATAAAACATCCTCGCTCTATCAGTAACTCACTATGCAGTGAAGTGTCAGCCAGGGGCGGACAGACAACACATGGGGCCCCCCTGCAATAGGGGATCATGGGGCCCGTGTCCTTGCCCAAACTCAAAAAAGCCTATGAAAAAGGTACCAGGGGCATCTCATGGGGCCCCCTACTGACCCCGGGCCCTCGGGCAGTGCCCGAGTTTCCAAATGGTCAGTCCACCCCTGGTGTCAGCTATCTGACAAGCCTCCAGTGGAAGTGCTCATTCTCCCCAGATTTATGCTAGTTCTGGTACACAGAGGCTGGAGTCAACCAGGGGTTTGTGAGCATTTCTGCAGTCAGAGGTACCAAAGTTAAGTATTAGGTTTCCTCTGTAACATTCTTGCAGCTGGGAAGACATTTAAAGAATGATTTCTTCATCCCACTGAGTTTCCTAAGCTTCTTCTTTTTTTTTTTTTTTTATTGGTCCTTTGCGTGATCAGGTTTCCTACACAAATTACCTAAACCAGCATAAACATTACTCTCCTTCCTAATGTCGTGGACCATGCTACATACATATAAACATACATAACACTACTTATGACATAGTGATATAGGGCATGAAGTGACAGATACACTATATTGCCAAAAGTATTGGGCCAGCCCACCAAATCATTGGATTCAGCTGTTCCAATCACCTCCATGGCCACAAGTGTATAAAATCAAGCACCTAGGCATGCAGACTGCTTCTACAAACATTTGTGAAAGAATGGGTCACTCTCAGGAGCTCAGTGAATTCAAGCGTGGTACCGTGATAGGTTGCCACCTGTGCAACAAGTCCATCAGTGAAATTTCCTTGCTACTAAATATTCCACGGTCAACTGTTATTGGTATTGAAGCGCACAGTACGCAGAAGTCGCCAACTGTCTGCAGAGTCAATAGCTAAAGTTCTCCAAACTTCGTGTGCCCTTCATATTACTACAACAACAGTGTGTAGAGAGCTTCATGGAATGGGTTTCCATGACCAAACAGCCCCATCCAAGCCTTATATCTCCAAGTTCAATGCAAAGCGTCGGATGCAGTGGTGTAAAGCACGCCACCACTAGATTTTAGAGCAGTGGAGACATGTTCTCTGAAGTGGCAAATGCATCCCACTTCTCTGTCTGGCAATTCCGATGGATATGTCTGGGTTTGGCGGTTTCCAGGAGAACAGTACTTGCCTGACTGCACTGTGCCAAGTGTAAGTTTTGGTGGAGGGGGGGGATTATGGTGTGGGGTTGTTTTTCAGGGTTATGGCTGG